GTGAAATGTCAATTGATGACAAACCTCGTTCTGGTCGTCCTTCCACAGCCCGAACACATGAAAATGTTGAAACAATTCGTGAAATCATCAAGGAAGATCGACGACGGACCATTGAAGAAATTGTGGAGCTGTCCGGAGTGATTTGGAGCTCAACGGCCAGATTTGTGGCAGTCGGGTGACTTGTTTCTCCATCATGACAATGCCCCTGCTCACACAGCCCTGTCTGTACGACAATTCTTGACCAAAAATGGTATGACCCCTGTTCCTCACTCTCCATACTCACCCGACCTTGCCCCGTGCGACTTTCTTTTGTTTCCTCGAATGAAAAGAGACATGAAAGGAAAAAACGACGGAGGCGCTGTCAAGCATCTCAAAAGATGAATTTAGACAATGTTTTGAAAAATGGAATAAAAGACTAGACAGTGTATTAGTGTAAGTGGGAAGTATTCTGAAGGGGACTGAAGGTTTGTGCTTAAAGTTTGAATAAATAAGTTTAAAAAAAATAAGTTCGGTTTCTTTTGGGTACCCCCTCATATTCTTCGTGGTATACTGTGCCTGACAGTGTTTCCTACACTCCAAAATGAGGACGAAAAGGATGCTGGTTTATAATAAAGTTTAACAGTGAAGCAAAGTCCATACTAGTCTCTTTCCTAACAGATCAAACATTTGTTTATAATGGGTTCCTGCTTTCTAATTGCTTCTTTAATTTCCTGAAAAAGGTTGTAAGAAGGTCACAATTCCTATATTACTAGAGATTATGCATAAAATTTATACCAGCAGATTCCTTGAGAAGATCTACAGCTGGACACCAAATTTTATATTTCCAACTTCTTAAATAAAGGAAATATTTATATATTTGTAAAAATAGCCTTCTGCGTGCTACAAACTGCATAAATTCATTAATTAATACATAAGGATTTGTTACAACAAAACCTGAAACTTTTGGGAAACTCTCATTTTATGGATATCTTCTAGTAAACCAAAAATCATGAAAACTGGAGACAGTATGGTTGAAATTTCATTTTCTTATTTGGTAAGGAACTGCTCAGAAGTAACCTGAGAAAGCTAAAAAGAAGACATCCTAATGCATCACTAAAGACGTAACTTGCCAAACCACAAGAAATGAAAGATTTCAAAACCATAACTTACCTTGTAAGATATAAGCACACTCTTGGATATGCACTCTCGTCCACATACTGCTCTAACAAATCTAAACGCTCGATCTCCATAAGAAGATCACACGCTTCTGCTTCTGCATTATGTGCCATATTGTATGGAACAATCTGATGAGCCAACCCCACCAACTTAAGCCGTAATTCTTCATCGCCCCCACTCATGTCTGCCCATTCACCTGCAATCTCTCCTGCTAGATGCCTACAATTAATACAGTAACCACATTAAGTTTGAAAAAGTAAATTAATATACAGGGCTATGATAAGTAATTGGTGTATTTTCAAAAGAGTTATAGATGCAAACATGAAACAACTTGAAAACAGCAAGGAAACTCATGAAGTTTCCATTTGCTAACATTGACAGCAACACATCAGCTGTGAGCGTAGCTCTGATCACTCTCGAAGTAAAATGGATTCCCAAGTGTAAAAGGCACTTGACACTTGGGTAGGACCAGCAGGACGCCTAGATCCCTGGACCTCACTCCATGTGACTCCTACATATGGGCAGATGTGAATAACCAGGTATATCCACTTATGATGCCAAAGACCCTTTGAGAGCTGATATGGAATTCCACAGGTCATAGCCAATGTCAAATGAGTCACAGCTGCAGTACATATGGGAAGATTTTGAATATCATGTTGATGTTCGCAGAGTAATGGAGTAAATATCAAACACTGACAGATAAATTATATGAGTTTCTTGTTGTTTGAAGTTATTTCATGTTTGCATCCTCAACTGTTTAAAAAAATACAACAATTTCTTATCACACAAATAATTTATAACAACCATGTAATTCTGTGTATGTTGAACATAACCTACTTACACATCCTGATTTCTACATCAGTTCTTGGACTGGTACTAAAATCACTGGCTAACACCAAAGCCACCATGCAATGGAGCTGTTACTACAGAGAGTAGCCAATAATAATTACAAAGTTACTGATCTCTTACCATTCACACAGATACAACTTTCATACATATTACAGTTTGACCCATATCTGCTTCTAGAGAACACTAATCTCAACTAACACAACCAGGCTCTGTTGAAGATAAAATGAAACAAACTACTGTTAATTGGAAATAATTAATTATTAATTATATACACTTCTACAACTCTACTGTCAGCATGAAGCAAGAATATAGCACAGCTCTGCTTGCTGCATGTTCCATTCACACTTCTTTAATCTCCAACCCTGAAGATGTAGACAGTATGTTCCTCCTACATGTTGGTTGACCTTCACAGGACTGCATGACATATCACTAAAGATATGGCTATTTATAATAAAAACTGTCTGAAATTTTGGCATGAAGAACCACACACTGCCTAAGGATGTAAGGATTATAGTCTGTATTTATTACATATTACATCAAGCAAGCAGACTTCAATCTTACCTAACATATTCATGGCCCCAGTCTCCAATCTCACATTGTGACCCTAGCAGTCTGTACTTAAGGCAGTCACGAGTATCACTCATGGTCATGGCAAGAACAGACACAACATCAGCACAAAATTCCTTTGTTTTTGGATCCTGTATCTTTGCATATATCTGCTTCATTGTATCATAATGTGATCGCATAAACTTCAAGGGCTTAGGTACGCTAGTCATTGAAGTTGTAGATGCTCGGATTTGATTCCGCAGGCTCTCAAGTGCAGGCAAGTAAAGTTGCTCATTATTTTCCTGCAGACATACAAATGTTGTTTACATCAATATCTCCATATCCTCACATATCTAACTATCTTCATGAAAAGGTGTTAACTAGCAATCAACGAACCCAATTAGAGCACATGTTAAATACTTATAATCTCAGGGGTACAGTAAATTTTCCTACAAGAATCACTAATAACTCAGCTACCTTGATTGACAACATTTTCATTGACAATAGTAGTAGTTATGACATAAAACCATGCATAAATGGACTATCAGATCATGATGCCCAACTCATCATACTTAATAACATCTCGGTATCTAATAAGACTCCTAAGATTAGCTATACTAGAAACATTAATAACATCACTATAATGGATTTTCAATATTTACTAAGTCTCAAATCTTGGGAAAATATTTTTAGTAATAATAATGTTAACATCATGTTTAATAACTTTCACAACTTTACCAAAATGAGCTGGCAGTATACCTCCACACACGAAATCGAGAAAATTATAAAAACGATAGACTAAAGACTCTTTTGGGTATGATGAGATCTCCAGTAGAATAAGAAAACAAAGTGCTCCATTTATAATTTCTCCTCTGACATATATTTGTAATGTGATTCTGCATTCTGGTGTATTTCCAGAAAGATTAAAATTTGCCATAATCAAACCTTGCTTTAAGAAAGGCAACACACAAGAAGTTTCCAACTACAGGCCTATATCACTGTTAACTTCCTTTTAAAAAATTATAGAAAAACTTATGTATTCGAGGCTAATCACTCATATTGAAGCAAACAGTATCTTGGCCCTTGAACAATATGGATTTAGGACACATTCATCTATGGAGAAGGCAGCATTTTCACTGATTAACAGTATCTCCACAGCTATGAATAATAAGCAAATTGTGGGAGGCATTTTTTGCAACCTACAAAAGGCCTTTGATTGTGTAAACCATGGAATTCTATTGGATAAACTTGAATTTTATGGAGTACATGGTATTTTTAAAACACTAATGGAATCTTATTTGACTGACAGACAGCAAAGAGTTGCTCTGGGCCATACAACTGATAGTGATAATTCATCTAGATGGGAGAAAGTAAAATATGGAGTACCACAGGGCTCGATTCTTGGTCCTCTGCTTTTCTTGCTATACATAAATGATCTTCCCAAAACGATAAATACAGATAATAGCATGGTATTATATGCAGATGATACTAGTATCATAATAACAGAACCCAATAAATTAAGCTATAAAATAAATCTTAACCAAACTTTTAAAAATATAAACACCTGGTTTAAGGCTAATTTACTTAAACTAAATTTCAATAAAACTCAATATATGGAGTTCAGAACCACGGAACGCTATGATACAGAGCCCTAAATCAGTTATGAACAGAAAAGTATTCCCAGTGCAACAGTAACTAAGTTCCTTGGTTTCTATTGATGATATTTTATCTTGGCAACAACATATAAATCTGATGATCAATAGACTAACTTCTACATGTTATGTGCCGCGCAACATTAAATATATAGTAACCTTTCCAACACTAAGGCTAATCTACTTTGCCTATGTTCACTCTATCATGAGTTACGGCATAATTTTCTGGGGTAATTCCTCTCATGCCAAGAAAGTGTTTGTCTTACAAAAGAAAATCGTTAGAATCATAACAAACACTAAACCTAGAGATTCTTGTAGGAATATCTTCAAGCAGTTAGAAATAATGACATTATATTCACTATATATATATTCATTACTTATCTTCATAATAAATAACAAACATATATTCAATTTGAATAATGAGATTCACGAATATGTTACTCGAACCCACGATGACTTACATTTTCCTGCTGTGGAAACAGCAAAATTTAATAATGGAACTTACATAACAGGCATCAAAGTGTACAATCACCTCCCTCAGTCAATAAAGACCTTAGCCAATAATGCCAAAAGTTTTAAATCTACACTGAAGAGGTTCTTATGTCAGCATTCTTTTTACTCAATGAATGAATATTATCAATATACTGAAGACAAGGATATACAGTCCATATATTTAAATGGTTAATTTAATTTCCATCCTGTATAAGAATTATTTTTAACAACTAATACTAAATACAAGGTATTAATAATAGTATTTTACGTTTGTACCTATGGAATTTTTATTACATACTAATTTTTCAATTTTATGAATTGTATATTTTAGACTGCTATCGAATTGTATATATTATGATTTAGTTTTTACAACATTATTGTGACAATGATAACTATTTGCCTGCATTAGTCATTACAGTACATATCGTAATCTGACATGTTCTACATCCTAGGCACATTGTGACCAGAGAGGATTCATGGAATTTTAAAATAAATTAATGAATGAAGCCTACCTGCAGCCTCTCAACCAACATATTTAGCTCTTCTTGAAGCTGTTTATCTTCCTCAGACTGCAAATAAAAATAAGTATAAAATGGAACAGAATTTATTTACACTCCACAGATGCATCATAGGCCTAAGCCAAGGTTGTAAAATGCAATAACACAAATACATTACTTGTTTCCAATATAAATACAAAGTTGTAACAGCTTTTATAGACATTTCTTATAATACAGAATTACACCAAAACAATTACATCACAGAAACATCACCATTACAACTTGCATATATCTGTAACTGGAACTTCTTATTTAGAGCACTTCTTCTATAGAGTCAGGTAGGAGACAGCTGTTTAACGCTGGCTTAAGAAGTTATATATCAGTGATTAAAATATTTGATTACAATAGCAAGATTGCCGACTAACTAAATACAAATACTGTAAATTCCTTTCTGATACATACTGAGGTTAGTGGTTGGCACATGGAGATTGTAGCCTGTACTTATATTGAGTGTGTGTATACACATATATATATAACACAACTGTATACTTAAGTATACGTGGAATTATTTTCTTCATGTTAATGTTATCAATAACAAGTACTTTGCTCAAAACTATGGGATGTACTGGTTTTGAAAAACTCTTAAATACTAAACTGAAATAATTAAAAGATATATCCTCACAAGTTCTGCGCTTTCTTCTTCATTCTTTTTTGTTCCATCGGAAACATTTGTTTTAGAATCTTTCTTATTTCCTGCCATTTCAGAGCAAATCTATATAAGTATAACCTAGTCACAACTAAACTCTAACCACAGTAAATAAACCCCAACTTTAACACAACCTGCTTGTCATCGGTGTGGTCATTCACTACCAAAGATGACACAACAGTCCACGGAACCGTCGTTCATAATGATGATGTTAGCTCCGAAACATTCAAGATTGCTACATTTATTTAATAATCATCCTGTGAACAGGTCAGTTCGCCACAAAATGTAAAATTAATTGCCCTTATAAGAAGCTACGCAGCACAGTCCTTCACAAAAGACACTGATAAGACCGATGGTACATTGCTGGCACTATTTCCCGTGGATCATATTCGCCAACAAATTCATTATGACCGAGGGCACAAAAAGGAAACTGGCAACCGCAACGCAACCCAGATTTCCGAAAATTGTAGACAGCCTCAGTTGAACACATGTTAATGAATGGAGCAGCGCTAATTGAGGAAACGGCAACGCAACCCGCAGAAAGACTGAGAAACTCAATTTCCAGGCAACGGAGTATGCCACTCTTTTAAAAAAATGCGGTTCCGCGTGGTTTCCTGGTTTCGGATTTATAACGGGCTTCAGTGATTTATTTGTTTCTTTAACTGCACGAAGGGTTAACGAAGCTGCTAATTTTGTTTTTGTGCCGTTAATTGTGAGGAAGGAGACCAATGGGAAGACCAAGGAGTAGGTCGGTGGACAATATTAAAATGGATCTCAGAGAGATAATGTGGGACAGTATCGATTGGATTGATCTGGCCCAGAATAGGGACCGCTGGAGGGCTCTTGTGAACATGGTAAAGAACGAAGAAAGCAGTCTTCTGGGATTTGGCACCGTGTATATGTGGTGTTAACCGACGTTTCGGAGGAACGTATCGCCTCCATCTTCAGGGTAGAAGGAAAAAAATATATAAGAATCTGCAAGCAAAGAGACCGTGAGAACCGGTAAAAGCAGNGCCTCAAATCTTACATGGTAAAGAACCTTTGGGTTCCATAAAATACTGGGAACTTCTTGAGTAGGTGCAAGATTGGTGCTTCAAGAGAAGTTTTGAGCTTCATTAGTGAGTGATTATATGGTAGTACACCTCATGCTCTGCAATTTTATACTTAAAAAACAGTGACATGTAACATATGTTCAGGATTACTTGGCTCACATTCCTTGACAATTACACACAACTCAGACTTAACTCTACGGGTATATCATTTCATTTATCAGCTTCTTTGTTATAGGGCAGCTAAATATTTACTCACAAGATTTTGCAAAAGATTTCGTGAATGGTGGGAGTAATTTTAAGAACCTTTGAACGATTATCTGTAAAAGTATCACATGCTCTTCCTCGTTCAGTGCATTCTAATTCTGAATCACATGGCCTATGCCGGCAGTTTGCATTTGGGGAAATATAGAGGAAATAAAAGAAAATGTTAGCAGCCAAGGCAAAAGAAAATGAAACCATGAACTAGCTGAAAACAAAAGAATCGAATAAGTAATATGAAACAAGCCTGAGGAAATGCTACATTCACCTTCGAATAGCACTTAGGCCAGGGAGTTTAGTGGCAGCGCAAAACGATGGAAAACACAATAAAAAGTGGAACTCACGAAGCAATGTCAAAAGGGAGATACGAGTACTATATAAGTTCAAAAACGCTTTAAAAGCTTACCTACTCGATCATTGTTTTTGTAAAGTGGATGAGTTTCTCTCGTGTGAGACAAACACTAATCAATTATAATCACATAATTCATGAATAATCGGTTTTGGGAATCCCTACTGTGCAGTTTTCCTTTCTTTTTTCCAGCAACCCAGATAACACAGTCAGAGATGTACCTGAATGGGTTACTCTGGAGAGATTGCAAATACGAAGAAGCTGCACCAGGAAGGGAGAACAGATGTAATGAGACGTTGCAGTGTAGTCTACAGTGAAACTTTATACCAGTGCTATCGCCAAATTCACCACTATTATCTCTAAGGCCACGCCATAGCTTAAGCAGTTAGTCACTGGCTTCCCACCGCTGAGGTCTAGTCAAGTGGAATTTGTGATGGACAAAGTGGCGCTGGGGCAGGTTTTCTCCAAGTACTTCAGTTTCCCCTGCCAATCCTCATTCCATCAAATTCTCCATAAGCATAATCATCGGTACAGGTACAATAGGACATATGGAAGCCAACGTGCCGAGGGGACCTAATATGGATTCCACCTCACACTATATGAAATCTTAACTATTGTAAACAATTTTAAGTATTGGAACTTTATTCTCTTACTGTAATCCGCCAATGTACAGCAACTGACTTGTCCTATATCGTGTAACAATGATCTATAGAGACAAAATAAATAAATAAATATTTAATACAGACATTGATTATCAATGATAAATCTCAGGCTATCACAGCCATGTGCTAATAAGAGTTCTGTCTTCCAGGATATCCTGTTATGTGGTCTGGTTAATGTCAACTGACTTCCAGAGGGACATTTCACCTCCATTTTCAGGGTCAAAGAATAAACTAAGTAAGAAACCAGTATGGAGTATGCAGCAAGCAAAGCAAACCACATGTGGAAGACACACACTAGTACTGAACATGCAAGCCAAGCAGTCAGCTCTGCTTACTGTCCATTTCTCATGCTGGTTTCTCACTTTTCTTACCCCTCAACCCTGAAGATGGAGGTGATGCGTTCCAGAGGAACATATCACTTTAATACAGGACATTATATAACAGAAAGCACAATTCCTCATAGCCACCACTATGAGAATCTGAAATCCAAAATGGGATATTTGTTTAATGTTTTCAAATGTCACTGAATGCTAAGAGTAGAATAAATAAACTATGTTGAATAAATAAACTATGGCTGTCATGTGGATTATAAACATTTATCCTCTACTGAAGAAAGCAGTCTTCTGGGATTTGGCGCTGTGTAGATATTGTGTTAACCAACGTTTTGGAGGAACGTATCACCTCCATCTTCAGGGTAGAAGAAAAAAGAAGAAAATCTGCAAAGGAAGAACCAGTGAGCGCAGGTACTAGCAGACTAGTAACACAATATCTACATGGTGCCACATCCCAGAAGACTGCTTTCTTCATAGTCACCGCCGTGAAAACCTCAAAATTTACGTTTATCCTCCACTGTTCGTTACAGAATATGAATATACTTTATGAATGCCATGAATTATATTTGTTCCAGTGAATTATGAAAAATTAATATTAAAACTACAAGTACTGTAATAGATAACCTCAAACTGTATTACTTCCTTTTCTGAAATACAATGCAGATATATAAAAAGCCGTAATCATTGCTAAAGTTTGTCTCTTGTGTTCATCCTTACTGAAAAACACTGGCATCATTAATCTGTGAAGTAATATTATCTCAGAGCTATCACATGAGCTGTGCATTTGTACTCTCTCAGCTAAAACTGTATGAAACTACAAGCTGAAAGGATACAATGCAATTGCGACACAAAGGAGATGATGGCAGAAAATTTTATGAAGTCAGAATTAAACAAGAGTAAGTCTAATCCACATAACTGATAACAGCTTGGGTAATGCTCCTGACATATTCAAGAGTACATCCATGCATACACAATTTGCATTATGCATTATCAATAAAGCCCACAGCAAAATGATAAGTAACTGTAGGCCTACAGAACCAAGTAGCTAATTAGTTTCATAATTTCCTGGAAAGAGGCAGAAAGTTAAAAAAGAGTTATGAGTTATTATTTAGTTCAAGTTCCCCAAGCAGTTTCATTGAATACCTTAAAAAACATACATACATGCACACAGTGCATACATCTATTCTTTGAAAATTAGAGGTACCATAAATTTAACACTGCAAGAAAAATACTGCAACAGAAGTATGGTAAATACAAAAAATGTGTCATAGTAGGGCTGGAAAGGGACTTTGTACAAGTGCCTGATGTCAAGGTTAATCTGTACTTTTACTACAATGAAAAATTCCATTTGCAATTTTAAAACTTATACTCAGCTTTATTACATCTTTGGTACTCCTCACATACATTTACTACTTCCATTTCTTAATACAGATCAATACTTACTAAGCAGATAATGTTTAAACTACTTTACTGGCATCTTCATTACATCATGGTTTAAGCTAATTACTTGATGTAGATTTATATCATTTTCAATACAGTACTCAATAGTAAAATGTCACCAATACCTCTGCAACACATACAATTTAATCACTTAGATTAAGGAGCTACCAGTTAACCAGCTCAATATTTTCTGTGTTCCATTAAGTGACTGATGATCAAAACACTGTACTCATTTCATGGAGTTTTATTGTCATTGTCATAATGTACAAAACTCTCAGTTTGGAGGAGGTGGCCACTAATTATGTGAATAAACAGTAAACTTTAGCTGCTTTATTATGGCACAAATATGTGCACTGGCAAGAAACTATGCAAATTTCACTATTAATGTTAATTAGGAAAACTCCTCTTACCATGTTACCGGCATTAACAAGAGTAGAAATATAGTTACCAGTTTCTATGAGCATATAGAAGTAAATAAATTAAATCTATCAACACATTTGAACATGAATTTCAAGTAAATATTCAGCAAACCACTGACAAGCCCTTAATGGACTGAATAACATTTAAGAAATTATAGCCAAATAAGTACGAATGGCGTATGGCGTATGGCGAATGCAATTTTAAAACTGAATAATGGACTAGGGACCGGAAGTTCTTTCAATAATTCTGCTAAAAAAGTTATTTTACCGCTAAATATTTTTGCAAATTCTCAATAAATAAATAAATGAAAATAAAAAAAAAATAATGAAATGCACTGAAATGCAAAACAAAACCAAAATCACTGGCCACAGAAAGAATTTTATTCTCTTAGGAATTAATATGCACCCAAAGTCTTCAACTGAATACAACAAAGAGAGATGCCTCAACAATCAAGCATCATTACATATAAAACAGGTGATTAGTTAATATGTTTAATACTAATATTTCACAGTGTATGTATTATTTCGGTTTTCACAGTGACTTCTGGGTTTCCAAAACCAAGAGCTTCAACAGTAGTTGTAATTAAGATGCAAACAATGTATAGGACAACATATTTTCAGTGAAAGGTTAATCAAAAATACACTAATATACTATGTGCATATTTTGGGCCATCAGGAACAAAAGCTTTACAAGCAGATTTATAACTGTAACAAACTAATATACCATTCTTATTGTGAATAACATTTAAACATTTCAACAATACACATGGCCAGCATTACAACATTTAAAATTAAAATTTCTTTGTAAAATATAAAGGTAAATTGTTGATTACATTTCAGAAGATAACTTTGAATGGAAACAGAATTTAAAGGAAAAACCCAAGATAAATTAGGCAGATGGTTCATCTAGGTACCGGGTGATATTAAGAATAGGAAAGAGTTGGCAAGAAATTGAAAGAGAAAGTTTGTGGGAAGAAAGCAGAAACTGGAGACTTTTCATCCATTCACCTGTATAAAACAAATGATACTACAACAATAGACTTTGAATGGAAAAGCTTTTCCACATATAACACGATAGAATATGGTAAATTCAAATGCCCCTTGCCATATTTATGTGGTCTCATACAGGATTCAATTTAAAAGGTGCATGCTGTGCATGAAATATAACAAGGGAACTTGTACATAATATATTCATAAAATAAACTGCAATGTAAAACATCACTGTTACTCAGTATATAACAAATGCACTAAGTACTTGTACAATTTTGAATACCTGCACTGAAGTGAACTGAAATATACCATCTGCACTGCACTATTACTAAATTGGATCATCTCACAATAAAAATGAAAATAAAACTTTGTCTGGTTATCCGCATACCTCATTCTACAACCTGGGGAAAGGATGGATAGTTAAACTAAGGCTCTGGAATCAGCGACACATGACAACACTGTTCACTTGTTCACTATGAAAACATTTTGCCACATATAGTAGCATGGGATCAAAAAATTATGTACTTATTCAGTTCTATACTTATAAATGTATTCTGAACCAATTTATTATTTAACATATTCAACTATGAATAACAGAATTGGCACAGTCACTTTAAGAACGGGAATACAGTCAGGCAAGCTCATCTGTTCAGCATCACCAACATTTCAGACAAAATTATACCTTGTCTCTGTCACAGTTTTTTGACACCACCACATAGCTAGCACACCTCACTGGGCCACTGGCAAGATGACTAGACAATATTCATTAAATGACTAAATGGTGGTGTGGTTTGTACAAGATAATTTACACGGTCTTGTAACATAGAAAATGGCACAGTACAAGAATATGGTTGTCTGAAAAGTGCCTGAACTAATAAATGTGTTTTACCTCAAACAAAGTTGCACATATATGTGATAATCGTATTCATGACCTGCAAATATAGACCTGGCAAAATTATGCTATATGTTTCAAATAAAATGACCTCAACTATTTCCCAATTATATAACAAGACATATAAAACAACATATTACATAAGAGGTAAATTAACAAACATTTTTATATATACAACTGTGCACAATACTGATAACTATCAAAACTCTTTAAAGTATAATATAACGTACCACAAGTAACATGTTAAAAGCCCTATGGTAGGGATCAGAAGTATAACATTCAAAATCATTAAATTTACAGAATATTATACTACAGCTAGAATGGGGAGAAGGTGCAGGGTCTGTAGGTTCTGAGAACTTGCTAACAATGCCATGTTTATAGACCAAATTCAACAAGACCCTGAACCCTTCAATGCATTAATAAATAACCCTAAAATAAACTAGCAGGAAATGGGCAAATTTAAAGACAAAATTGCAAACTCACAAAACTGCATGATCTATATGGCACTCCACAGTAGTAGTTATTTCATTAAGTTTTTCGTTGTGGTGTTATTGCAGAAATTTCATTCCTATTATTACCAAAAGAATATGTATTTTTACATAAAGCTACAATTGTTGGCATGTACATGGTAATACCAGGAGTATCAGTGAGCTAGTGTGGAATGATTTTATCTACCAGTAATCAAAACTAAGAACCTGACTAAAATTAGCACAAAAGTGCTGATTTATGTTTTACTAACAACTTTTATGTATTTGGAAAGCTAATGTAGCTGTAACTCAGAAAACTTGAAATAATGAAGTTCTAATAGAGTAACCATTCCCCAAGCAATAAAATAACATATAATTTAATGCAGTAAAAGTAAGTAAATTAAAGCTATCCCTGTAACAGGCCGTGAAGGCCCATAGGGTTGTGAGACGTTGAGGGTCCAAAATTATCTAGACAATTGGCTCAAAGATGGCGGTAAGGTTCTCAACCTTACACGCCAGCCGCACTTTACTCCCCAGGAAAATCATTTATTTAATTCCTGGTACTCATTTCTGTTAAGAGGCGAGTGAACCCCAGGGCCATAGTGTAGCCGGAAGGATTAGGTCCAATTAGGTACAATGAGCTCATCGGTATTTGAACCCGCGACCTTCCAACTTGTAGCATAGTGGTTAAGGCACCGTGTGCCCCCAATTTAGTGCAGTACTTGTTTATAATATTCTCTTCCTTCCTCATTACATATAACAAATTTCTGGTAAAAAAAAAAGCTAATATTGTGTGTTATACACCATCGTCAGAACTCTATAGTAAGATAACATTGTTTTATATTTCTACCAATTTCATGTAAGCAAATATTTTCAACACCTCTGATACAAAAGGAAGTACTGTTACATATTAAACAAATGTGTGTTATTATCTGACTGAAGTACTTCATACACACAGGCACCTGTTCTGAAACATGATACCAGAAAACGTCACATTATACAAAGAGTGTCCCAAGAATATATCAGGTGAGAAAATATCCTGATTAGAAGTTTTCAGGACATGCAATATCCAGTTCGATTTCACTACCATGCCAATCCTTGCTTAGGGGGTTGAACTAAAGCTAAAGCATAAGCATAGCCCAATCCATTCACAACTGTTCAGCTCAGTATATGCACAAACCAAAACTGCACAGGAAGTACAAGAAGAATACACCACATATTATAAGCTTCTCTTTCTGTCCAAAAACTGCAATACTGCTGGCAAAAATTTCTATCATGATTAATTGCAATGGAGAAAATTTCTGAAATATAAGAATTCTTAAAAGAAATTCTAAGTGCAATACACAAGAAATCATTAAGATTTAGCACCTTACAAATTATATTTTTGTAAACTCCTACACATATTCTTTCAGCTTCAGGGATATTTCTACCATGGGCAAATTTTTATACTGTGACATGACTCATTAAGCACAGAATGAGTGACTAGCATAGTGAAGTTCTTTCACTTTCACTTGGGATAATGAACTAACTGGCAAGATCAACTCCGCAGGTAACAAGATTTGGGAATACGAATTTCTATCACAATAAGAACATCTGCACAACCTCATTATTTACAATGTCTGAGAACGCTTTTAATCTGTGTTTATAAAAATGAACATTTTATGTCTTTGGTTTATTTTTTTATAAAGCAGGAATAATGACACAATTTAATTCCCAGTATATTTCAGTATGTACCAGAATTGTAGGAAATTACCATATTTGCCTGAAATCAAATAAAAATAATTAAATCCATATATCTGTATCAATTTTATAATTCTTTTTTAACAGAATGTTTTGGGGTCACTTCAGCAGGATTACTGATGCCCAAGTGATAACCAATATATTATTCCACATAAAAATATCTTCAGAACACAATTCTTGGACACTGCATAAAATACTAGTTTCTCAATACAAAACAGCTAATCCAGATGCATGACAATTTCTTATATCCGCCCTTTTCCTTTGTATGTAAAATGCAGACTCTCTTAACTATAAAAATGGTTATGAGCTTCAATGAATGTTACAGTTTTACACAGGAACAGAAACTAAATCTGTATGCCCTTATATACATATTGCATGAGTTCCACTGGATCATCACCATAGTGACCATAAAATATTTTTAAATGGAAAAAGCATAAAAATGGAGGGGAGAAAACAAAATTCTAAACAAATATACACATTTACATTCAAAACTTCAAATACACACTGCAATCATTAATAATAACATGAGGCATTCCAAATAGTAAAGGGAGCTTGCAAAAAGCAAGTTTAGAGAAAAAGCCCTGCACAGTGTGTATAGAGAGAAATCATAATATTTCTCCCCAGAGCAGACAAATATTGACTTAGTCTGTGACTATAATTAGGGGCAAACTCCACCTTTAGGATCTGCTGCACATGTTTCTACACACTTCAAAAGAATCTGTCAAGCAAAAGAAGAGAGAACAGAGTTCAGCTCTGTTCAGTTCTCCCTTACTGTGCAGAATGCCTCATATGATTCACTCGACCAGATTCCTAGGAAATTTTCCTTGTAATTTTGAAGTTTTAAAATTCAGAGATATTTTTTGCAAGGATTATTCCAAGGCTGAAATTTTTATATTCTTCACTAAATTCAAGGAATGTGTGCATTAGATGAGATTGATTCATAAATTTGATGTACATCCTGGGAACAAGAACTTGCTTTCATGCAGACCAACTGTTCTGTTAATAATACGTAAATGAACATATCGAATACATGGAACATTATACACATTATTTGCAAAAGAAGGAATTATGTGAATTTTTATGGAATGTTCTGAACTGTATGAACTAGGTTAACTGTGGTGCTGTACAGAGCTGTAAAATGATTACAGCCTTAAAGAAAAACCTTAAATTATAATAATTATTTTATATTAAAAACTCTCTCATACTCAGGTAAATATGGTACCTTTCCTAAGCTGATGTGTTATTTCATAATAATTCATTCTACGTCCAACAACAAAATTACATGTTTAAATACTGCATAACTCTTCAATCTGCAACATTGATTGTAATAGTTTTTCCTTTTGGATCATCAAACCTATCCATGGTTTTTATATCCATTATCATTCCAAGACCAAAAATCATAATAATGGTAAAAACTGTACACACAAAGAGCCCCGACCATATGGGTACAGTAAAGAAATAAACACAGTCATATGCAGCTCCAAATCTTCTTCCGTCAATATATGGCTGTATCTGAAAATAAAAATCAAATATAAAAACAGACATAATCATCAAACTTTCTTTTATATACAGAGTGTATCAAAACTCAAGGACAAATCTTCAGGAACAGACTCCTCATATAGAGAGAACAAAAAAGTGTATGACAACATGGGTCTGGAAATGCATAATTACAGAGTTAGCTGACCTTTTAGCAACGTCAGTGCAACCCGATACTCCCAACACTGTTGCACTGTTACACTGAATAAGTCTGTAATGCCAGCTGGAACAATCTGGTCACATATCAGAGGAAATGTTCAAAGTGACCTCCTCCTGCCTGAATACAGGCCTCTGCTCATCGTGCTGCACACGATCAAAAATGCCTGGTGTAGTGCGTACTGTCTGACAGGCTGCCACAATGCATGCATGGAGAGTTGATACATCAGCAACAGCAATTGAATACACAACAGACTTTAAGTGTCCCCACAGGTAAAAGACCAAGGGGTTTAAGTCAGGAGAGCGTGGTGGCCAAGCAATCGGTCCACCTCTCCCTATCCAGCGCCCAGGATAATGGGCATTAAGATGCTTGTGGGCAGACAGACTGAAATGTGTGGGAGCACCATCATGCATGAAGTACAGCTGTCGATGGGATGCTCGTGGCATGTCATCTTAGTAATCAGACAATGTTGCAAGCAAGAAATCTGTGTTGTTCTGTCCATTAACCTTGTCCGGAAGAATGTAGGGTCCCAACAAACAACCTGTGTCTCGCAATTTCTATTCCAGCAAACACAACGTGTCTGTGTGCACTCTGTAAATTACATGCTCGGATAACTCTGTAATTACGCATTTCTGGTCAAATGTTGTCATACACTTTTTCCTTCTCTCTATATGAGGAGTCCATTCCTGAAGTTTTGCCGTTGAGGTTTGATACACGCTGTATAGTGGGGGGTGCAGTCCACTTGGGTTCACTCGGCATGGCAGTCACTGATTGACCTATTGTAACTGCCCTGGGTGAGTATGATGATGGAATGAAGATCAGCAGGGGAAACTGAAGTACTTGGAGAAAACCCACCCCAGCGCCACTCTGTTTACCACAAATCCCACTTCACCAGACCCATTCTTTTATACATAAAGGATCACTGAAGAACAACTCCCATGATTTGAGATGCAGTAACCTGTGAAATATGAAACAAAACCAAGTACACTTTATAGTTTCTGGACAAATTAATAAGTTCTGATGCAAGAACCCTTTGTAGTGTTGCAAACATCCAAGTGGTGTTGTACTTTGCTTCAGGTATGACAAAGCATGTTTGGAATCATTGTTGCTATACAACAAAAATTCTGGACTGCAGATGATGTAAACTATGGATTTCCTATGTGTAGAAAATGTTTCTCACACATCCTCACAGGGGCAAATCCATGGTTGCAGCCCAAACCTAGCATTTACAGTATATAGGGCCTTATGAGTGAGGTTGGATAGGGCTGTGTTCTACTGCGAAACTGCGGCTTCTTTTGCAGTCTGATGGTCTGCAATTCTTACTTACTTACTTACTTACTCATGGAGCTGAGCCCTTCTGGAGGAGCCACCAATTCTGCACCTACTCAAGAATTTCCCAGCTTTTATGGAACCCGAAGGTTCATCACCGTGTTCACAAGAGCCCTCCACTGGTCCCTATCCTGAGCCAGATCTATCCAATCCATACCATCCCATCCTATCTCTCTAAGATCCATTCTAATATTGTCCACCCACCTACGCCTTGGTCTTCCCAGTGGTCTCTTTCCTTCTGGTTTTCCCACCAATATCCTATATGCATTCGTCTCCCCCACTCGTGCTACATGACCTACTCACCTCATACTGCTTGACTTGATCATTCTAATTATACTTTGAGAAGAGTCACTCCATCCCTCTTCGCTCCAAATATTTTCCTCAACACCCTCTTCTCAAACACCCTCAGTCTATGTTCCTCCCTTAATGTCAGAGACCAAGTTTCACACCCATACAGAACCACAGGCAAAATTATAGTTCTGTATATTCTAGTTTTTATGTTTTTGGACAACAGACAAGAAGACAAAAGATTCTGGAATGAATGGTAGCAAGCATTACCCGAGTTCAATCGCCTCTTTAATTTCTTCCTGAATCAGGTTTCGATCTGTTATCGTTGTTCCAAAATATCTTAATTGTGCCACATTTTCAAAACATCTGTTTCCTATCTTTACTTCATGATTTTGCCCTGCAATTCTAGCATATTGAAATATTTCTCTAGCACAGTCTCAGAGAAGTCCATACCACACGGTCACTTTTGGCTTGACAAATGCATATTTAGAAATGTTATGTGGCTATTCTCCTCCCCAGATTCCACACTTGTGACATTTAATTTGGGCATTAACGTGAAACAAAGCTTTATCTGTGATAAGTGCTCACCTTAGAAAATCTTAATCTTCATGAATTTCATTCAACATGAAATTTGCATATCCAACTCTTTTTGAAGAATTTATTTCTTATCACAGTTTAGTTCTGTAAGCATGTAATCTAAACTGCTTAAGCAATATAACTGTGAACTGTGGTTCTGTACAAGATGATACCCCAGGTCTTGCAGGTAATTTTTGTTTTACTACAATTCCTGATTCTTTAACTTGGGTAATCTAATGACAAATTTAGAATTCGGACATTCCCATCTGCAGGTATGTAAAAAATTTTGTTCATCACTTAAAACGGATTTGAGCTCAGCAAACCAATCTTCAATGACTCTCACCATCCTGTTACTGAGAGTTGAGTGTACACGCGCATGTGCAGCAGGAAATCAACAAAAACTTTGTGATTAGTTGAATATTTCACAGTAAACTCCTCGATTACATAGTGGCATGTAGGCTCATTGCTAGGCAATGACCTCGAAATAAGCAGCCACACAATAGCCGTCGCTAAGTAATGGCTCTGTAAACAATGGACACAGCTAGGTAATGGTTGCAGCAGACTCATGTGCAACAACAAAACAGCCGCTGGAAGTGGTGTTCTCTGTGCGCTCCATGCCGAGGGCCAGCTGACGTTAGAAGAGAGTCTTGAGACAGCAGTGAGAAAAGTAGAAGGCTGGGGTGATATGGCCTCCAGCCTGGGGATCACCGGAATGTAGTTAGTGTTTTAGTTGGAGGACTGCTGCAGTTAAGTCCTTGTGAGCTGTTGCCACTAGAAGCTGGTTGCTGAGTCATGGGAAACAGTGCAGGAACTTGGAGCAAGGGGAACATCCACTGTTGGAAGCCTTTACCAAAAAACTGGTGAAGGAACACCCAGCTGAGAATACTTATGTGGGTGCTGCTGTGAAATTCAGAGTGTCAATTAGCAATAGCACTACAGTTACTTGTAGTTACAAGTTCTGTGTATAACTGCCCAATAAATCCAATTACCTATTCAAACCCCACCTAGTCATACTGAGAAATTTATATCTCTCTACCTTTGATTAAATTATAGAGATCTTTCATGCAGTTTCTCTTCCATATATAATGCAACACACTTTCTGGCTTCACAGGGCCATCTTCAGGCAACACATTTTGATGGAATCTACTGCACTGTGTTTGTTTTTGCCAATAAAACTCAATGTATGTCATCAATATTCTCAGTTCTAGAACTTGAGAATGTCTGTTCTTTTTCTATCTTTGTACTGAGGCCCCTCTGTGCCCCTTCTCTGGTCATGTGTACCTTGTATTGATTTGGTGTTCCTTGTACTTGTACTACAATCTGACTCATGCAGATTACACAGAAGGTGAGATGATAAGTGTGAAACTGTAACTGTACAATATGAGAGACTCAGCAAGCATGAGGTCGGACTGGAGGATATAACTAGCACTGAAAGTGAAACAGCAAATAGTTTGTAGAAATAGATTAGGGAGAAAATTCAGGGAAAAGTTCACAATTACTTAATGTAATGGAGTTGTTAGACAATAGCCCTCATCTTATAATGTATAAGATGAGGGCTGTTTTCTAACATTATATTACATTACATGATGGTTACTGTGTCTGTCTGTTCATTATAAAGAAGCTACTGTATTTGTTCTGTTGTTAGACTGCATCTTGTATATATTCTTACAGATATATTTCAGGAAATTTACACTACTTGCATAAAGGTAAATTGATATAACTGGTAGATACTAGACCACTGTATTATTCTAATATATTTTAAATAAAAAAAAATACAGTACCTGGAAGTCATTACTAATGTTAAGTTTATTGTCATTAGCATTAAAAACTACTTCTTGGCTACAGTGGTAAGAAAACTCTAAAGGTGCTCCAATCTTCACATCACTGAAGTTATACAATTCATTCTGCACTGTAACATGCACTCCTTGCAAACTCCAGTAACCTGGGCTCTTGGTGTTTTCAAATGAGAATCTGTGAACATTAATATTAAGAATTATGAAATGTGTTACATTATTACCAGCTTGTGCCAACATATAACATGCTGACACAAAGAAAAAACCTCAAATATCACTATTCCTGTCAGCCTTGAAATCCCAGCCCATAGAATACTAGTACCACTACAGAAAAGAGAGCAGCGCTAGAGCATGTGAGATACAAGATGCCGAAAACAGGTGATCTGATGACCATTCATCTGCCGTGCATGTCGCTTCTCTTCATCCCCCTCCTCCCATAAATATTCTTCTCAACCCCTCTGACTTCTCCGTGGGGTTACACGGAAGCAGATACTGTGCAACTTTAGTTTATAACATTACTTCTCGTTTTACATTCAATTTCAACAATCCCAAGTCAACTTTTCCTCAGTTTAGCATTAAAATCCACCACTTCCCAAAGAGATGGGGGCATCACTGTATTCTTCTTCTATGCCTGAAAGGAATACAGGCTCTCCCACTGCTGAAAGTTCGTAACTACAGAATTGCACTATCAGTAACAAAGTTTTTAGCCTACTTTCCTTATACTGAAAAAATAAAAGTAGGCTTATCAGATCACCATGTTGTCTGTTTGTTTGTGTGTCCCTGTATCCTCTCTATTAACTTTTTAATGACTTAACAGTCTATATGAAATCTGGTATGTATATCATGGCACCTGGGCCCACCTCAACAGCTTACTTCATAAATCCCTCCCACCAGTCTTTGTGTCTGCATGTGTATCCACCTACTGTTGCTACGCAATGGCTCAGTATAAACGTTACCTTGGTAACGAATACACATGCAACAACAGAAGAGCCGTTTGACACATCATTTTCTATGTGGTCCATCTCATATCAAAGGAAAGTACAAGATTAGTTCTTCCCAGAACTTCCTGTTTCATTTTGCTCTCCATTTTTATTTATGATTTGACATATAAATTTCTCAAACATGCTACGTGACATAATAGTTAACACTATTCTTAGGCTGTTGAAAGAACTCCCATGGATGGTGAAGATGATGGCACTTGAACCCCTTTGTCAGCTGTCTTATCCCACTTTAGCCTTCTTTGTCTTTGTTAAGCAGGCCAAAGAATTTTTGGTATTGAAGGTTATATCAATCTCTGTGTAAAAAAAAGTAAAGGTATCCCCGTAACAGGCTGTGGAGGCCCACAGGGTTGTGAGATGTTGAGGTTCCCACATTTTCTAGACAATCAGCTCATTGATGGTGGCAAGGTTGTCAGCCCTATGTGCCAGCTGCCCTTTACCCCCAAGAATATTCCTGGTACTCACTTCTGTTAGAGGCTGACTCGACCCCAGGTCCATAGCGCGGCTGGAAGGATTAGGTCAATTGAAAACATCCAATGATCTCATCGGGACTTGAACCCGGGACCTTCTGGCTTGTAGCATAGTGCCGCAACCAACTACACTACCACATGCCCCTATCAGCCTCTGTATACCTTGTATAATTGTTCTTTAGTATAGAGCAGTCACAAAGGCTGCACAGAATCCACAATGACCTGGACTATACACTTGTCCTGAAACTACTGTGCAACGAACATAGAATGACTGACTCCTACTTTGTCAAAGAGGCCCTATTTTGAAACATGTGTAGAAGAGAGTAAAAATCTTGGTCATGGATATTGATGAGAACAAAACCAGGAATAACTGTTTTGCCGAAGGCCAGCAGCAATTTAACCTACTGATTGATTGATTGATATGATTCCTGCATGGCAACAAGGTTAGAATACCTCCTTCATAGCCCTGCAAGTCATAGGAGGTGACAAGAAGGAATCCCAGTGGCTTGGGGTATAACTGGGTCATCCTGTTCCTGGGATATTAAATATGAGGACCTGGTGCTCCAGCTGGGGGAGTCTCAAAACTGAGACAGTAAAATAGAGTGATGAGAACCGCAGGAGTTGGACCCAAGAGTGAATGTGCTGGTGGGAACCAGCAAATGTAAACGACAGACCTGACCTCTTGTCAGAGAGGGCACCACAAACCCACAACTGTCTGACAATAGTAAAAATCTGGTCTTGGTGCCCCACATGGGGCACCAAGATAGACTGGCTGACTGACCATCAGTCATAACATAACTTTGACTTTGATCAGTTGTGAGGTTGTCAGCTACTTCTGGAAGGCAAGAGGACACTCAGCGAGGCCCTCCAACTGACCCTAAGCCTGGAAGTTGTAAAGCTAATAGTCGGATCTTCCATCAGGCTTTGAAAAACAAGGGACAGAGGATTGTGGAGAAGCTGGCCACCTCCCAGATGGAAGAAGAAATGGTGACAAATCTATCTGATACTCAGGTTGCACAGTCTTAGGAAGGGAGCAATGTGAAATGACACCTGAAACCCATTACAATGGAGCCAGAAGAAATGGTATGTTCTGTGATAATGGCTGGGTAAACACGTTTCTGTGGCAAAGGATACATATGCAACAATAAAAGAATGGTTGGAAACAGTGCTTTTTATGTGGTCCATGCTGAAGCTATATAGCAAGGCCCGATGAGAAGTCTTATTCAGCCATTAGTTGAGTTGTCAGTAGAGCTGGTTAGAGGCGAGGCAGTTACCTGCTGGTAACACTGCAAGCAGAAGAGGATGCTGCTGGGATCCACTGTCAAGCAATGACTGCTGAAGACATAGAGGCCTTAGAATACCTATGTGTGTTAACTGCGTGAATCAGTCACAGCATTAAAATTACTTGCAGTTACAATTTTTAAGTATTGAATCCAGTTACCAATCCAAATCCCATGTCCAGTCACTAATTTTAACAATACTTTTACTTTCTGAGTCACCACCCAAGGAAATTAAACCATACCTCAAATAATCATGAAAACATGCAAAAGAAATACAACATGTGGGTTTGTTACAACCTTAAGAGATTTACCTGTATAAGTTAATTAACTTCAAGAACCCATATCTACCAAATTCAACAAGATACAAGGCAATATTTTACTGTAATAAAGGAACCACTAAAGACAAAATACTCACACCACAGTAATATTATCAGGAAAATTTATGATGAGATCTTCATCCCCTCCTACAATTCCATTTTCTAGAGTAGTACTGAAATGTAAGAAAACGAGTTACTACTACAATGGTAAGTATCATAACATTTTTTATATAAATAAGAATATGCTTGAATTCAAAAGTGAGACAAAAACATGAACATTAACAGAGCAGAGCTGAAACTGCATCTCCATCTTCTGGATATCACACTCACAGTCAAGAGCACCACATTATTCAACTAAAAATTAATGATTAAGTCAGTACCTCTTCTGCCCTATAGTTAGAATCATGGTTGGTGCATAAAGGAGCGTTCTGTTATTTCCATATGCTTTTTCATCACCTGCTTCCAAGTCAGTTGCAAGCAAGTGGCGTATTCTCCGAGTCGGTGTTTCTTCACCAGTTTGCTGGAAAATGAACATCATATCAATTAATTTTAAGTGACCATACTATGTAACTACTCTCTGCTGCTTCAAGATGACAATGAGCACATATATACATTCTTCCACTCATGAAAACTACATTTAATTCACTAAAATGAATCCAGTTAAGATCTTATATGCAAATACTGCCTAGACTTATTTAGGAAGTAACTTTAATTGCATAAGTATAAACATATATTGATACTATTAAATGTATTTTATTTGATTTATGATTACTGTCAAAAGTTCAGACTATAGCATCAAATGGTATGATGATTAATGAATGATGAACTGGAAAAGGGGTAGAAGGAAGCAATCACGGTCTATTGCAAGACACTATCCTGACTGACTGAGGAAACCCATGAAAAAACTTAACATAGCTGCAGTCCTGGGCAAAATGTGACCCCAGCATCTTCAAAATACAAGTCAGAAATCTGATCAATAAAATGAATTTTAAAGAAACATGTTTTGAAAGTGTAGCCTGGATTCACGAAGGTCAGGATATGGTACATTAACAGAGTATTGTGAACTTGGCAATGAGCTGTCAGGTCCCATAAAAGGTAGGAATCTCTTTACTGAGTGAGTGACTATTTCGTTCTCAACTAATACTCTCCATGGAGGTAGGTAGTTAGTTAAATATGTACATGTAATTAAATCACTGTAGTAAACATCTTCACACTCTTAAAGTACATCCTACTGAACCTGTACTATGTAACATCATCCTTTATTATTATTCCATGGTAACATAACAGGGTACCCTGCATCACATTCAAAGTAAGAACACATATTCCAGAAACTTCTATAACACATGAAGTTACAACTGAAGGATTATAATGTAACAAAGACAATTAGAATTGGTTGTCATGATCCACGCACACAGTATAAGAAACACATAAATTTCTATCCAATGAAGCATTCTTGGGTGATCGGCCATGTAAGCATGGAATGTATTTCAAATATTTATGCAAGTGATAAAAGTGATAGTAAAACTTCAACAAGTGGAAATAAGTAAAAAATTATTCTGTGGTCACAATAAATTGCTCATATCAACTGACTTGGCCTCTTCAACACAATTCAGCCGCTATCACCAGAACTCTCAACTGATCTAGTCTAAAACCACTCATTAAAACAGGCCAGGAAAATAACAGTCACAAAATCAGTCATGACAGGAGTTCTGTCTTCTGCAATATAATTTCATGTTGTCTGCCAAACTCTACCAAAGTTTCAGAGAAACGTGTGGCCTCCGAAGCATTGCTTGACTTTAAATGGAGTACACTGTGTTATATCCCAGAAAACAAAACTATTCATAACCACCACTATGAGAAACTCAAATCCTACAGTCATGACAAATTCACACCTCTGTATACCTGACATTTATAGCTTATCAGTTTTCATAAACATTGCCATAAGGTACATGGTGGGGTGCAGAAACTTCCTTTTTTTGAAGGCAACTAAAAGAAAAATTATTGCTGATAGACAAAATGTATGTTTAGCTAATGAAAGAACATACCTTAAAGTTTTAAATCATGTAGTTTTAAACAAAATATCTTGAACGTGGTGGCCACCATTCTCTATGCACTGATGCAACCGTTTTCTAAAGTTCCCCTCTGCATATTCCAACATGTGCACCGGAATTTGGGCTACATCCTGCCGAATAACATTCTTCAGCTGAAGCAGGTTTGTAGGACGATGTTTAAAAACCTCTGCTTTGAGGTATCCCCATAAAAAAATCACAGGGAGTTAGATCAGGTGAGTGCGCTGCCCATGGGATGTCACCTCGAAGCAAGATGAGCCATCCGGGGAGCTTTGCCCTCAAAACTGACATCGAAGCTAGAGCTGTGTGGGCCATGACTCCATCCTGTTGGAACCAGATATTTCCTACATACATTTCTTCAAGAGCTGGTTCGAAAAAGATCTCAAAATCGACTGCTGAACTTCCTTCACATTTTCTGGCATCGTAACTGTCCGTTGTGGTCCTGATGATTTTTTCACTACACTCCCGGTTTTCCTGAAGTTCTCTACCCACAAAACAATCGAATTGCAGTCGGGAACCAGACATCTGGGCTTAATTCCGAGGTGAGTACGGAACGCACGCTGCACCGCCACGTAGGAATGGTTGTTCGAAAAATAGGCTTTGACAGCAAACGCATGCTGCTCACTCGTCCACCTCATGTTTCCTAGTGAGGGGTATTAGACAGAAACTTCCGCGACTGCTGCGTTCGCCGAGCCTATCCCCACTTTTCTGCGACCTCCCCTCCCTTCACAATGCGTCATCACAAAAAAGGAAGTTTCTGCGCCCCACCATGTATTAGCACATACATTTCAATCATCAGTAAAAGGAAATAAATAATCACTAAGAGAAACTTAATTCTTTCAACATGAAACTAAATGAAATTTATATTGCAGTTTTAGACATGGGACAAATTATATTAATTATAAACAATAAAACTGATATTTCATTGCCAGTAGCTAATACTACTATTACTTCAGTCAAAAATTATACATACAAATTATCACATGGACAAGTATGGTAACTGTTCCTCACCCAAGAAGAGTGATGAGCAGTGTACACTGCTAACACATCCCCATGGCGTTCTGCAAGTGCTCTGTACACCTTAGAAATGACAGCATCTGAAAATAAAATTTAACAATTCAGTCTGTATGTCTTATAACTTAAAATTAAAATAACCATTAAAATACACCTAAACAATGATCTAACATGACTGTACAGTTTCTTATGAGCACAATACCGTTATCCACACGTACAGGTAACTCTCTGTACTTACAGAACCTGAAAATTCAACACACTCATCATACAACCTTCCCACTGAATCAACACAACTGACACACACACATATTTCTCCATAATTGATTTCAATATTGTCCTCTAATCTTCATCTATGATTCTCATGACATTTCTTTCTAAAAATTTTTCTGACCGTTTCTAGCATACTCTTTTCATTTTGAAAAAATATGAATAGACTTATGAGATCACATTGGTGTCTCTGCATGCATATGCCTGCGTAACAAATTCTGAATGTCTTAACTAATCTTCTTGAAACTTGATATGGTACCTCAGTCCACCTCAATGGCATCCTTCCTAAATCTCCCATCTGTAATACCAACATTAGAGCCTCTCGAACTGCATGGGAAAAGCCTTAATATTGCTTGACATGAAGCCATCTCAATGGTCTACTTCATAAATCTCTCTCATCAGTAATACCAACATTACAGTCATTCATTTTTCTGAGGCAAAACCTTAATATTGCCTGAACTCCTGTACTTATCCTCATAAAACTTGGTATGTATATTGTGCCATATGAAGCCATTTCCCAAACATGCAGAAATGAGAAAATCTGAACTCATTCACTAACTAGAAACAGAAGACAGCAAAACAAAGTTACCATGTCTTTTGAGAAGATCTGGTCTATCCTCATCACTTGCAGCATCATCAAGATTCACATATAGCAATGTCTCGTTTAATGCTATATCATCATTGCTCAGGCTACTGGGTCCAAGTTTCAAATTATACCACTCCCGCCCCTGAACTGGCAAATGATGGCGGAATGCATGAAGGGGAGCATGTACAAATGGTAAGTATGTTAGACCATCAGATTCACTGCTTATGCTTTCCAAGTTAGGGAAAGAACCCTTTCCTGCTTCATCTTTCCAACTAAAATCCTCCACACTCAGCTGAAATACAAACAGCAACACAGTACCAGTAAAATCAAGGCTCTCGTTCCTTTTCCATTAAACATGCATGTAAACTATTTACATACAAACATGTAGCTATAGAATTAGGGAATAACAACTGAAATACTTATATAGGGCACACAATTTACTTTTTCTATGTTTCTACTTTCCTAAGTTCATAACACTGAACTTGTTCTGAGTACTGGGACATCTCTACAAAAACAAAGCACTGTGTATAATCAAAATTAAGTCTTTCTTGCTCCTTAAGACAGTCATTATGTAACCACCTACAGCAGCACATGTTCAGCACTAAATAACATTGCCAATAAAGCTTACCCACGCACGCGCGCGCGCACACACACCACACAGGATGATTACAAAATGCATTTGGCATGTGAGATGACAAATATGACATCAGTAGCAGGAATTGGATGCAATGAATGACAGAAAAAAGAAGGGAAATAAGTACATGAAATAAGATGACTGTTGCACATGCCTTGAGCAAATTTAAGAATGCTGATATAGCTGAAATTGGATACAAAGTTGCATAATGATGAATCAACTACAGAAGTTATCTAAATTTGAATGAGATATGAAAATAATGATGAACAGTGGAATTGTGAATTAGTAATATACTATTTTGAAGCATATCCTGGTATGCGACAGAAGGTACTGGGGAGAACTATTAAGAACAACAGATGCTCACGTTGAAATATGAACCTGATACTTCCATGTATGTGTCAGATTTGCTGTTGCAATAAGACATGTTTCATCTTCACACAGACCAACACTAGTAAGAATGAAGTTACAATAGAGCCCTGCAAAAATTGTACTTGTATATATTATAATAATGTGAAAAAATGTCTCATAATTTTTACTAATTTAATTATGACAGTTATTCTTAACAGACATTTGATGTTCAAAAGTTCTGTAGGGACATGTTAGTGTATGAGTACAAACATTATATAAACTTACACTTTCTTCAGCAAAGATGACAACTACTGGTTTGTTTTGAAGTTTTTGCATCACAATATCCTTGAACTCATCAGCAGTTATTGTTGCCAAAGCAGGAATTTCCTCCTTTGGATGTGATTCACTGAAACATTATTTAATCATTGGTATGAACAACTGAATTTTTTAGAAACTTTAGTTATAAGTTCACAACAAATGAATAATGAATGGAACTCCATCAAGCTTTCAATAGTAAATTTCCATCAATGCTCCAGGCACTGAAATGTTTGGGACAAAAATAAAAAACTGTGTTAATGAATGAAAATACACATCACCTTGTAGAATTACACACAAAAATATAAGATGNGCTCTTTCACTTACACAATGCTTTTAATTGGTTATAAACAGATATTTGTACTTGCATTAGTGAAATTAAACAATTACTTCTTTCACATCAAGATATTGTGGCCTATGGACCTGAGGATACCCAAACACCTCAAAACAAACGACAACATCAGTTGCTATGTGATAGTGCAGTAAACACACATCTATGTCAATAGAGTTACTGCTGAAAACAGAGTGTTCTCTATGTGGTCTGTACCACAACCATTGCTATGCAACGGTGCTGTAAACATGCCTCTACAGCAGAAGAGGGGCTGTTTTCAGTGTGATCCATGCCAAGGAGTTATCTTGAAGACAACTGGGCGAGAGTCAGTTGTCAGTTGAGAACTGAGTTCTGCATGTGAAAGACAGAATATCAGTGCATGAGGCTGAAGACCTCCACTGTTAGAAACTGTTGCCAAGGAATGGCTGATGAAAACAGAAGGCTGGAGAAAGGCTTAGTGGGTGCTGTGGTGATTTGTAAAGTGTGGAATTAGTGATAGTGCTATAAATATTTACAATTCTGAGTGATGTATATATGTGGTCAACAAATCCATTCACCAATCCATACCCTGTCTACAGACACCCCTTACTTATTCACTGAGCTGAGCCCTTCTGGAGGAGCCACCAATTCTACAGCTACTCAAGAATTTCCCAGCATTTTATGGAACCTGAAGGTTCATTACTGTGTTCACAAGAGCCCTCCACTGGTCCCAATCCTGAGCCAGATCAATCCAATCCATAACATCCCATTCTATATCCAAGATCCATTCTAATATTGTCCACCCATCTACGCCTTGGTCTTCCCAGTGGTTTCTTTCCTTCTGGATTTCCCACCAATCTCCCATACACATTTCTTGTCTCCCCATTCGTGCTACATGCCCTGCTCACCTCATCCTCGACTTGATCATTCTAATTATACTTGGAGAAGAGTACAAATTATGAAGCTCCTCACTGTGCAGTTTTCTCCAACCTCGTGTCACTTCATCTCTCTTCGGTCCAAATATTCTCCTCAACACCCTGTTCTCAAACACCCTCAGTCTATGTTCTCCCTTAATGTCAGAGACCAAGTCTGACACCCATACAGAACCACAGGCAAAATTATAGTTTTGTATATTCTAATTTTTATGTTTTTGGACAGCAGACGAGAAGACAAAAGGTTTTGACCTGAATGGTAGCAAGCATTGCCTGAGTTCAATCCCCTCTTAATTTCCTCCAGAATCAGGTTTTGATCTGTTATCGTTGTTCCCAACTATCTGAACTGTGCCACATTTTCAAAACATCTGTTTCATATCTTTATATCATGATTTTTTGCCCTGTATTTTTGTGACGAGACAGCAACATATACTTAGTTTTCTCTGTGTTTACTTCTAGACCAACCTCTTTACTTGTGTCAATTCAAGTTTGTGTGTTTTTCTTTATGGTATCTACATTATCGCCCAGTAGATTCACATCATCGGCATAGGCCAACAACTGATGTGTCCCGTTTAATTTCAGTCCCACCTGGTTTCCCTGGACCTTCTAATGGCATATTCTAAAGCAAAATTGGAAAGGATTGGCAATAAAGCATCTCCTTGTTTTAGACCATTCTGGATTGGAAATTTATCAGACAAATGTTTACCTACACGGACTTTACTATACGTTTCATTTATACACATTTTAATCAACCTAACTAGTTTCATGGGTATCCCAAACTCTTATCAGAATATTGTACAATACCTCCCTCCTAACTGAATCATAGGCTTTCTTGAAGTCTATGAATAGCTGATGCACTGTCTCATCAGACTCCCATTTTTTCTCCAATATCTGATGGATGCAAAAGATCTGATCTGTAATTGATCTGTTACGTTGAAACCCACACTGAGAATCCCCAATAATTTCATCTATATATGGATTTAACCTTGAGAGAAGAATATTGGATACAATTTTGTATGAAGTTGATAGCAGCGACATCCCTCGATAATTATTACAGTCAGTTTTATCACCCTTCATAACAATATATTGTGATGCATACACCCATTGCTGGGCAATGACTCAGTACACACGTTGCAGTGAACATAAAACAATAGGTGCTGTGTTCTCTGTGGACCATGCTACAGCTCATTGCTAGTTAACAAACAAATATATGTACATTCTTGACGGAGTGAATGTGAAGACTGATCTACATGTTGCAGTCTTACACTTACACTTCAGGAGAGATTTTTAACTGCAGCAACCTCTATTTTTATCTGTATTTTTATTTTACTTTTATGAGCAAAAATACTGTACCACATGGTTTCCCAGAGGGAATTCTCTACAATTTTTATGAAATGACATGCCTACAACACTTCTACCGTATACATCTTTTGTTTCCTTAACCATCCCCACGGATGTGAACACTGCTTACTCATGCTCTCTCCTTTCTGTTCATGACCTGCTTTGTGCACTTTCCCTGTGTGTGTGCCACTGCTTATCTTTATTACGTGTGCACAGAGGGAGCCTACACAGATTAACACCTGTACAGTGCTGAAAACAAGAAGTAGGCGCCGCAGCACTATAGACATAGGGCGAGTACCCCTGAGAATTTTAAATTTAAACATTTTTAAATTTGGAAAACAAAAATTTTTAGAGGAATTTTTAAAATTGGAACTGAAGATTTTAAAAGTGCCAGTTCACAAAAGTCAAAATTGATGTGTGTAGGTAACAAAGATAATGTATGAATCAGACAAATATCAGCGAAGTAGATTCTGTTAGCAATGACGAAGGGAACAATTGGGAAGACCCGTGTTTTAAATTTTAAACTAAGTGCAGTGTAGCAGCTATGTGAGTGTATACACCTGATGATGGCTGTTTGCGGCCGAAACATGTAGTGTAGAAGAAAGCAAGACGAAAGACCTACAATAAATTGTTGCACTTAGGACGGAGTTTATATCATATACTTCCTACAGAGATTAAAATTGGTATCTGGTTCAATTACTGAGTCTTCGAACATTATCCAGTATACTGTTTTTTTATTTAAAACACAATGTTTCAGAGACTGGATTCCGTCACCATCTTCAGGTAACAGCGTACATAATTGGTCCCAATCGATAGAGCTACTCCCTACATCTGGACACTAGCACCAACACAAAATAGGATATATATATACAGGGTGTCCCAGGAGGAATGGACCAAACTTCGGGAGGGTGTTCCTTATGTTAAAGTATGCCGATATAACCCAAAACACCTATGTCCAAAGTTGAACAGTTATATATATATATATACACCAGACACAATATAAACCACCAGCAAGAATTAAGACATACATTAAATATATTAACCTTTAAATGTTGGACTTTTTAACATGGTGGTAGCTTGAGCTGGCCAGCGCTTATTTAAAAGCTTGCTGCTGGTGCGCATTTAAATGTCCATTCCTGTTAGGATGCTTACATTGTATTTAAAAATGCTGTATCTAATACAATTTTTATGATATATGAATTGAATTAACTTTGTTTTTATCAGCAAAGAACACAGTGCTGCAATAAGATTTGAAAATATTTAGACAAAGAAGTTATACTCTATTTTTAATCTTTTCTTGTAATTTTTATGCATACTGTAAAAGTTGTTCCAGGTTTCTTCATAGAGTAGTTCTGCATTATACAATCACTCCTACTTCTAGCACTTGAAATATTTTCGCATTCTCTGGTGCCATAAACCAGCTGGAAGCAATAAAATCATTTGGTTCTCTGCTGGCAAGTATCACGTTTTAGTTGCATTCTTCAGATATTCCAGTCTTTTCACTAAAGGACAGAAAAGTGAAAGCTTGCAGTTCAAGGAAGGTTACAGGGTCTTTTTCTTCCCTTCTTCAGCATCAAGACTCAGTTTTGTGAGGACAACTGAGGAGCTATTTCAAGGAAATAACGGCTCTGGTCTAGAAAAATCAAGAATAACGGCCGTGGGGATCCACTGTGCTGACCACGTGACACCCTTTGTCCACAGATGTTGGCACTAACTTCGCCGACAAGTGGCAGTCACTCGGTCAGTATAGTTCACTTGCGGACTACAGGCCATGGAGCTCTTCAGTGTCAACCCCTTCCACTGTGTTTGAGATAGAATATTGCCCTTCTTAAAGCTGTAAACAAACACAGGCATCGTAGCTGAGATACAGAGTGCATTCAGTTTTCTGTGAATTCGTAGTGAATTCGAATATTGTAGTTTCATATCATCATAAAATGGCAATGCTACGTTGTTTGGAAAATGATGAAATTGAAAGGCAACTAAAGTGCAAGACATGTGACGTGGGACTATTCAGGTACTTCGGCCATGACAACCATACTCATCACTGTACTGATGAGTGCACTTTGGACGTTAAAGGTTAAAAACTTGCATACACATGAGGTCTATCACCTATGGCCATGCATTATGTACTGTCCAGTGTCTATAGAATCAGAGTACTATGAAAACAGAAGTCAACACTAAAGAAACAAATTCTCTGTATAGTACCAACATAAAAACAACTATCTCACACAATCTACATTGAACAGAGTTGTAGATCTCTGACTTCTGCTGCAATAGTGGGAGTCCAGATGGCAGATGTCCAAGCTGGGTTAACTTACTGGATGAGCAACCAGAGATATGTGGGCAGATTCCTTGTATTTCCTGTAGGTGGTGTTTGGTTCAATTTGCAAGACCTTCACTTCTTTCCAACATATTACATGGTCTTCTTCATATGCATGTTGACCTAATTTTGATTTCCTAAGCAGACCTTGTGCTCCTTAATGCTTACTTTTGCAGGTCTGTTTGTTT